GGGGGAGGAAGGCGGCGGCGGCGGCGGCTGCAGCCCTTGGCCTCCAGGAACAATGTGAGACGTTGCCTGAAATGTTAATTTCCGTTCCTCATTTCATCATCCCCTGGCGGGGCGGTAGCAGTGTGTGTCTGCAGGGTTGGCCCTGCCACATGCATTTGGTCCCCCTTCAAAAGGGATTGTGCAGCTCGGTCCTGTGTAGGTGTCGTTTTGGAAGGAGTCTTGGCTTTTCTTGCGGCCTGCTCTTTCTTGGTGACCTGGTGTGCTCCTGTTGTGTTTTTGAAAGCTAATTTTGCATATCAGCTTCCAAGGGTTTGAAAAAGACTTGGGAAGATTAAGTGGTTTGAAGAGGGCCCTGTGCTTTGAAAACTTTTTTTTTTTCCTAACAGTTAAGATGTAGTGTGCTAGGTATGTTTTATGCTTTCTGCAGGTCGTGAGTTTTACATTCACTTTGAAAAATACGGTGGTTTTATGGATTATTTTGGTAAAGAAATCATATTTCAGTCTTATTTTGGTGAGAGTTTTTTGCGGTTACTTGAGTTATATATATAGTTGTTTTTTGTTTTTTTTGTTTTTGTTTTTTTTTTGGTACCGGGGATCGAACTCTGGTGCTTGAGCTTGAGAGGCAGGCTCCAGAATCACTGAGATAAATCCCTGGTTTGAGCAGTATTCTTAATACTCCTTTCAGCTGAGTAAAAGTAAACAATTGTTGATTGCAAAATTTAGAATCTTTTGGTTCTCATTGTGCGGGGGGGACGATGAGACTTACTCGTAAAAAGATGTAATGTGATATTACTTGTGGAAAAAGTGCGTGGAAACAGTTACTATTTTTGGTTTGTGCAGACCCAGTCAATGGCATACTTTGGACAGTCCTACATCCCAGACCCTGAGACGGGTCACTGGGTGTCTTTGGGACCTTGGTTTGTCTGAGGGCTGGCTGCCCTTACTGGAGCTCCGTTTGTGCCTATTGAGAACAATCGTACAAGTACTCTGATACTGCTTTGCCATTGTAGTTAAACTAAAAGGAAAAATACCTTGCTCAACGCTGATTGTGACCCTTGAATTGATCTCCATATAGCGGGTGTTTCCTCCCCCACCCTCCATTCAGCTGTTGTTCTTTCTGTAGTTTCACGCTGGAGAGCAGAGCCTCTTGTGATAGGCTGGCCATTCTGAATGGAATGGGATGGGAGGGAACAAAGGCCAAGTTGCTGTGACATTTTTTTTCTGTTCTTTGTGCATGCCTCTTGAGTTCCTTGAAAAGCTCCCCAACACATGTTGCTAAATTTGACCCAAATCTGAAACTTTTAGACAATTTCTTCTTCTTATTTTCTACCATGGCACGATATGCCTAAAAGAATTTACCAGAAGTTTTTCAAAGATGTCACCCAGTCTTGAATTCCTCGTTTGCAGCTCAATGTCGCCCTTTTCTCCAGACTGGTCCTGTTAATCACCCCGCACCAGCGCGCCTTTCATCTCACCAAACCAGATGGGCTGCTGATGACTAGTGGCTGTCATGTTAACTATAATTATAGTGTTGATACAGTGACAACTTTCTACAAATATAAAGAAACTGTGCTGTTTGTATGTGAGGATATTTTTCAAGAAGGCTTGCGCCTTGGATACTTATGCAGGTCTGACAGACTGTAGTAATGTTTCATCAACTACAAGAAAATTATTTTGCTTGTTGGCAATGTGCCCATCATCAATTAAATAGCATAATTAGAGAGCATCAGTAAATGCTGGTTCAGAGAATAATCTGCATTTGTTGCCAAAATAAGTGTTTTGATCTGTCCATTACCCTGTGTAAAAGTCCCTTCATCCCTCAAATGGTAAGTGTAATGGATGAGCTTCTCTTAATAGCGAGATATTTGCTAGTTAATAGGTGAAAATGATGACGCATCGCTTGTCGGCGCACGCTGTGTCAGTTTATTACTGCTGTTCAGTCAGTGCTCGGTGGGGATTGAGTGTGGCCCGTTTGATAAACTTTGTACAAAAATTGAATGAGTGCAAATAACTAGAAGTTATTGTCTTGAAATGTTTTCTCAATTTGAATTTCAAATGGAATTTCTGTGCGATTCAACCTTCTCAGTTTTGTCTTCAAGCTATCTGAAAGAGGGTGTCAGGCCTCAGCTCCAGGAACTCAGGCAGTTGAGTAATTGGCCTAGGAAGCCTTTTAAGGCTTAGGAATCCGCTTTAATGACTACTTCATTAATTCCTATAGATGTTTCTATTATTAAGGGGCTTTTGTTTGCTCAGTGGTCCTTATTCATGTGTCTGTTAGGCTGGAGTCAGATTGGGCTTGTGCTTAAATGTTTTTGTTGTTCTTAACACCCATGCTTCCTCTCCATATTTAAAATTTCCTGTGGTTCATCTTTAGACTAAATAGTGTTTTATGTATGTGGTAGAACTACAGATGTCATCTTTATGATACATCTCAAGTGATTATCCAGACCTAACCTCCAAGGGGCCCCCGCCCCCGCCCCCACTCCTAGCTTTGGTGTCTCTCTTAGCTTGTGACACCGGCTACCTTGGCTTGTGTTTCCTGAATTGGGCCATTACCTTTACTCTTGGGTAGGGCCTTGCTGAATCTCCATCACAGCCTCCCATGCAGCTCCTCTCATCCCCACTGCAAGATAACTGCTCAGTCTTGGGCCTTAGTTAAGTACTACTTCCTCTTGTTTTTCTCTCTCTCTCTTTTATTTTTGGTACCAGGGATCGAACACAGAACCTTGGGCTTGTGAGGCAGGCGGCAGAACCACTGAGCTAGATCCCCGGCCCCTCTTCCTCTCTTTTTTTTGAGACAGGCTCTGGAGAGCTCAGGTTGACTTTGAATGTGTGGTGATCTTCCTTACTCACCCAGCTCTCTTATTACTTTCAAGGAAAGTGTTCCCCCCTCAGAACAAAGAAATAAAAATTTTCAAATATGTAATGATTGGTTTAATAGGTTGTCCCTGTCTTGCCCCTTGCCCCCATGAGAAAGTCTGTAAATTTAAGGTCGGGATGGTCTACTTTGGCCCAGCCCAATTCATGACGCTGTAGTCATGGAAGTGGCTCAGGAGATATTTGAATTTTGTTTGTTTGTTTGTTTTTGGTTTTTGAGACAGAGTCTCACTGTGTAGTTGAGACTGACCTGGAATTCACTGTGTAGCCCAGCCTGGTCTTGAACTCACAGCGATCCTCCTGCCTCAGCCTCCTGAGTGCTAGGATTACATGCTCCACCACGCCCGGTGATATTTGAATTGTTTAAAGCTTATATAGAGTGTGATGGTGCACACCTAGAAACCCAGAACTCAGGAGGCTGAGGCAGGGGGTTTGCTTCAGGTTTGCAAGCCTGAACTACACAGGGAGACCCTGTCTCACAAAGTCAACAACAACAACAACAAAACAATAATAACTCCCTCCAAAGCCTATATAGAAATATTTGAGTAATTTTGAAAGTGGAAACTTAGGCTCCTGCATTTATATTTATTTAGCCAGCGATTCTGCCATGTGTATTTCAGCTATTTTTCCCATTTGTTTTCATTATAAGTTTGCCTTTATAGTTAAAGGTACAGGACATAGATTTTTAGATTGGAACAGAATGCAAAACAATGAAAGGGAAAGTTATCCTGTGGAAAGAAAAGGTGTTCTGTGAAAGCAGTTTTAATAGGACTGCTACTTTGAGGCCAGAGAAGTCTAGCAGCAGTTTCTGCTCGACTTGCACACCTTCCTGTGGAGGTGCCAGCATCATAGAGCTGGGTGAAGGTCAAGGTTGAGCTGGAGTGTGCTTCTGCTGTGTGTGGTTTCCGTCTGTGGCTGAGCACCTGCCCAGAGGTAACACGAGTAAGTGGCCTAGCATCCTGGTGGGAAGTCCTTTGCGAGTTTTAGTTTTTTTTTTCTTTTTAAACAAATTTATTTGAAAGGAGATTA